CCTTAATGAGAATTTCGTGAGAAATCAACAGACTGTTGATTCTCATTCAGCTGATGTGGTGGAAACTACAATATTAGCCATCGAATTTTTTCCCTTGAATCTTTCTCGTTGAAAAATGAATTTGTAGTCCTTCACGACGGAATATTGATCTTCATCGGTATATTACGGACGTGTAACATTTTATTCCAGGGAGAATAGAGTCAGGCAATATTAATAATAAAATTCAAGGATTTTCATGTCAGGAGATGATCATAATTCCGTGTGGGATAGTGCATGGTAATCTCAGTGATGGGGAAATCGCTTTATCACTTCCCTGCACAGGAAGAAAAACCTGAGAAATGCGGGAAAACATGCCGTAGATTCCAGGAGGTTTGTTTAGTCATAGCTATTGAGAGGAAAAATATGAGCGGAAGATAGCAGAGAATACATTCTGAGAAACGCCTGAGAAATTATTCAGGGAAGTTTACCCGAGTGAGTGGACTTATTTAGTTACGCCCGAAAGTTTTAATTAACAGTAATTGAATGGACTCGTTAGTTCCCATTATCAATCTCCACTGGGGTATGTCATAACGATAACTCTTTTTCTAGTGAATAATTGCTTCATTAAATGTAACCACGATGAATTTTTCATTTAATGAATCTCTGTTGCGAGCTGAATAGCCCTCGTGGCCATGAATAACCGAATCGTTAAATAAAAGAATAATCTCTCTTGAAATTACTGCCATTGAACAATTGCTATTGCATCTGCCCGGTGTAAATGGCCGAATTCGTGAAATGCGATTACATAAATCCGATAGATTTTAATGAACTAGTTATTCCTACCTCAATGCGTCTTGCCTTGAATTCCAATGAATAACTTATTGGAAATCAATACTCTCTATTATCTCCTTAGGGTAACAATGCATCGGGCCAGTGTTATTCGAATAAAGTGCCGACATACAAACAGAGTTTCACTCTCAGTCAGACTCGACAGTTTTAACTGGTGTCAGAGGGAGATAAGACAGCGGATCCTTAAAAATAAATGAAACTATCTCCGAGCTTTCAGAATTTGGTGGTGAAAAAAAAAAGTGGAATTTTAATTGTGGCTGGGAAAATTAATTGTCCTGGACAAGTTTTCTCGTCAATCTTCCCTCACAAAAACCGTAAATTATTTCCGGAAGGGTTGAATGGAACTCACCAACGTCGTCCGCTCGGAATTCCTCCTGCAGTTGCTCGATGGTTGGTTCGCTGTCCTCAGTATTTTTACCCTGGGACGATGTTTCAGTGTCTTTCATACTCTTTCTCGCTTGATGACCTCGAAACACCGCTTGTATTCTCGTAGCAGCCTCTTCTTTCGCCTTATCACTCGATTCGTCTGATTCGTCTACTGCTTCCGGTTGCTGTGTTCCACCAGTTGTGCCAACTTCTTCCTCAGCTTCCTCTGCTTTGTTGTCTTGGCTTGCAGCACTTTTCGAAATATCTGAATCAAAGTTATGGGACAATGAGTATATATCGAGAAGTAGCTGGAAATTATACTGAGTGAGATGTCAATTGGCCAGAAAAAATTACTCTCGAGATTTCTAACAGCGATAAAATGAGAATTTGCTGTGTTCCTCATTTTCACTTGCATCGAAAGAGATATCCCTTTTATTAATCCAGAAATTATAATTGAAATACAGTTTTTTGGCGGAATTATATCTTAAGGTTGTTGTCGCGCGACAGTCTCTATAAAAAGTTTATTCGCTGTAAAACGGGCCAGTTTAGAACACAATCTTTTGACGGTATATAGTCTCACTTGATTGATTGCATTGTGCATGAATAGTTAAAGCATAACTATATATTTTCCATTTTAATTATTTTAAATTATATAAATTTATGAATTTTCG